TCCAACCTGCCTGGAGCTCAGCTCAAGGTTAGTTGTTTCTATTGTGTGATTTTTTGATAAGGCCTGTGCTTTGATCTGTGAAAGCACAACTCAAAGGGAAAATTAAGTTTTTTTCCCCCTCTTGTGCCCTAAGGTCTGAGAGCAAGTTAACCTCAGTTTTACAGTGGCCACGGTGCATGTGAGCAAGTCACTGCCCCACACACCAGCAATGGGCAGATAGAAACATCGGTGCCTCCACCCACTTGTTCCCGCTCCATGTGAGACGCTGGGACAGGGGTGCTGGGGAATAAAGTTGAGCGGGATGTAGACTTTCTTACTGGGGCTTACCAAGTATTAGGGAAGTAATGGGACAGTGATTCCCAGCGGGGGAAGGGATCAAGTGCTGGGCCTGGCACAGCCTGCCATCTAGTAGGTCTTCCAGAAATAGCTGTTAAATGATCAGATGAGGGTGAGGCAGGGTAGATGTGCCAGAGAAGACAGTAATAGAAGACTGACTTTGAGGTGCCCTCCCTCCTGAACCCCTACCATCACGGGGGCCTGGAGGAGGGGGTTCTGCTGGGTTCGAGCTGCCTTCCCCTGGTGCGCATGTGCATGATAGTCCGAGGGAGGGGAGCCCTGAATACATTCACAGATTCCTTCAGGGAGTCCGAGGGGGTGAGGGTAGGAGAACCTGGGAGCTAAGGCCAGGTTACAGAAGAGTGAGTGTTGGGGTGAGAAGTTCGGACCTGATCAGTAGGCGGTGGGAGTCAGTGCAGGTAAGGAGCAGGAATACTTCACAGGGGAGCAAGCTTTGTGACTTGGAAACTCCTGCCCAGAGAGGCAGAGCCAGAGGAAGGTGGGGGCTGGGAGTGCTCTCTTCTCAGACTGAGTGAATGAAAATAGCTTGTGACTTCATTTAAAAGTATTTTTAAAAAGAAAAGAGACCAGATTAGGTGACCCCGCCCCAACTCAAGCCTCATTTGTCTTCTGCCTGTTATGAATTGTGATTTCTGTTTATGCCTTTAAAAGACCGTTTTAGGATATAAGCGATTTTACAAAGATTTCCTTCTCAACAGCTAAGCACTGGACACTCTTGGATGTCAGGAGCAGACATCCATTATCCAACAAATATTCTTTTGCAAATGTGCCATCCCTGGCACTGGGACAGGGCCTGTGATTAAGGGCTTACAGGAGGCTGTGGGCGCTGAAGGTACAAAGGCTCAGCTTGCAGCCCCACCTCACCCTGAGCCCTGGAGGCATGCTGCACCGTACCCCCACCCTGGAAACACTCCAGGCCCTCTCTGCCCAGTCCCTGAATCGCCAGATCATCCGGAGGGTTGAACAGTGGTCTGGGGCATCCTTTTCTCTACGGCTAGAGGCGGCCAGGAGGGCAGGCTGCCCAGGCCCCCAGGGACAGGGAGGAGGGAGAATCACAGAAACTGTGGACTGATCCTCCAATCCCCCCATCTCTGAAGGTGGCTCCATCCCTCCTTCCCCTCCCTCCTGGCCATGCACACTCACCACTAATCAGGAGGGGGATTCTGATTCCCCTCCCCTTAAATCTGAGCTGGCCTCGGGACTTCCTTGACCAAGGGAATGCAGAGTGAGTGCAGCCTGGGACTTGGATTAAGCCTTTAGGAGCCAGCTGCTTCCTCTAAGCACCCTGGGAACTCTTGTTCTGGGGGAAATCATGTGGAAAGAAGCACGGAGCCCTTGAGTCTGCAGGAAGGGAAGGCTTATTTAAGGAACCTACTGTGTGCTGGGCCAGCATATGGGATGAATAAGAAGGACGAGCAGTTTCTTAATTATCCCATCTACTTCCTCATGGCCTCTTTTATGGGGTTTGCGGAGTAAAGCTCGTGGAATTTTGGTAGTCTCACTGGTTCTACCTTCACTTCTGCCAAGTTAAAACACATCAGCTTTATTCATTTAAAATCAAAAAGTGGCTTCCAAATTCTATGAATTTCCTTTATACCTAAAATATCCATGAGTGCCTGTGCAAACAAGGCATCCACTGGTATTCTGGATTCTCCTACTTTAATCCATATTTTCTCCTCTTAGGCCCTTTGACAAGTCTTATTTACACCTTCCAACTGAACACTTGGGTTACCAACATCTGCAGGGAAGCCGGAAATTATCGTTAATTCGCTCCCTGTATCTACCAAAAAATTGGGTACACACTTCACAACCACGAATAATCACATTTAACAACACATACACTCAAGTGTCACCATTTACATTATTTACATTGCTCATATAGGTTAGGTGTTTATCTATCTTATCCTTGCCCTAGGCTGTGATTTCCTTGCCTGCTGCTGTTTGTCGGCCTTCCAGTCCCTTGGGCGAATGGCTTTCTTATTTTCATTCCCTGGAACTGTCGTGTTTTATTGCCTGCATAGGTTGGCCGCCCCAAGGGCGGCCCCAGCCATTTTTCGTCCGTGAGCCTCCACCCCACGGTTCAAACCGTGCCTGTGGTAAGAATGTTGTTTGGGCCTTAATGGCATTGTTGCGCCCTATGTTATTTTGCACTGCCGGTTGTCTTTGTCCTGCTCTTGCTGGGCGAATATTTGAAAAGAAGCTCACAACCCTGGTTTCTGTTGTGCCCGCAAATGACAAGCGCAGCCCCCAAGGAATCAAGGACAGCCGATGCAAGCACAAAAGGGAGTTGAATGCAGACTCGAGTCTGGACTCATGACACCCATTGATGCAGCGGTGGATGGCGAGAGCCCCGAACTGGGGAACAGGAAGGTTTTTAGGGTTACAAGCAGGCTTAAATTTTAAAACAAGCTGGCAGTTACTCATTGGGTACTAAAAGGCTTTGTAGGTGTGGGCACAACTCAGACTCAGTTGATTAGCCAGGGATGCCGTGGTCTCCCTATTTGGTCGTCTCTTTTTCTGTTGGCCACCAGGGTGGTCCGAGAGGGTGAGGCGAGGATGAGACATAGTTCAAGACATTGCATCATCTTTCAGGAAAGTGAAACCTAAACCTAGAATTCTAAAATGGTGGTTATACACACAAAATGGTGAAACAGTGGTCAAGTGCCTAACAATCCGGTTCCACATTACGGCTTTTTTTTTTTTTTTTTTTTTGGTAATACAGCTAAAAATAAAAGAGACATAAACATAAAACCTATAATATCAGCATCACTATATCCAAATGTAGCGAAAGCTGCACAACCTTATAACAAAGAGGTGTGTATTGGGTGCGGAGGACCATGAGTTGAATGTTTTGCAGACGCTGTTTAATAAAGCGGACCAGCATATTTAAGATGCAGGGGCCAAAGGTTAAAGCTAGAAGAAGTAATACCAGAGGCCCAGCTAGTGCCGTAATCAGAGTGGTCAGCCAGGGGGTGATGCTACACCAGTTTTCAAACCAATTCTGTCGTGACTCACATTCATGTTTTCGTTTTTCTAATCCTTCGCCAACTACGGCCATGGATTCCCTGAAGACCCGTGTATGATCCGCATAAAAACCGCACTCTTCCCCTGACACCGCACACAATCCACCCTGTTGTAGAAATAAAAATCCAGGCCGCGGTGGTTTTGGAGAACTACTTCTGACAAGGAGGTTAGAGATTTTTCCAGATGAGATATGGATTCCTCCAGGTGACCTATGTCCTCATCTATGGCTGCCCTGAGATCCGCCAGCCCTTTGTACTGGTAACCCAAAGCTGTGGAACCAGTAGCCACTCCCGCTACACCTAACCCAAAGAGGGTGGCAATGGTAGGGCGGTTAAGGGCTCTCTTTGGTACGTGGTAGGGACTGTTTTTCAAAATATTAAAACCTCCGATCCCTCATGATAGTAAATTTTTGGAAACAACCTGACATGCACTCAGAATTCTCCTGTAAGATTGACAACCTCGCCGTGTACACAGGGACTAAGGCCTGTCTGCGAATGCGCCCACCAACCTGCAGCATAGAACCTATTGCTACTGTTACTGGAGGTGATAGCAAAAGTCTGGCTACATGGAGCCTCAGCAGTGCCTCGTCCTAAACAAGACCCAGACCGCTGTACCTCCCTAAGAGTCAATCCTTGCTTAGACTCACTAGGGGTCTTTTTCCATGGACAAGACGAATAGTTCGTGGTAGAATTAATAGGTACACCAAGGCGGTAGCTTCATAAAAAAGGAGCTGTCGCTGCATAGCATAACCAGCAATATTGGGTGGCATTAGGGTTGGTGATATTAAGTAATTTTTTTTTAATTTTATTTTTATATTCCC